AAAAATCAGCCCGGCTCCAAATGCAATTCCAGTGAGTAACAATGTCAGGCTACTGCCAATTCTGTGGCAAATCGGGAGAAAGCACAATAATTCCACATGCTGAGATGTGAACAACTGGAAAGGAACCAACTCTCGGGAAGTCACAATGAAAACTCTTACAGTGCCCCCACCCCCAGCGCCGTCCTTCTCGGAGGGTACAGGGGGAGGGAAAAAAAAAATAATTAAGCCACTAATTTAACAAAAGGAAAAGGGAAAACAGCGACAAGACCGTCAAACCGAAGCTGTTTAAAAACTCAGGGAATGTTTTATTCGCTGGAGATTTGGGACAACGCTGCTGCATGCACATGCACGGTAAAAAGAAAAAAAAAAATAAAATAACCAGACAAGTTGCTAAGGAGACTTGTGTAAACTGGGAATGCAGGAGGCACATTTGTGGCCTTTCCCCCCGTATTTCCATCTCGCATTCCGATCACGCAGCACTGCGGCACGGCTGCACCAATGCTGCCCGGCGGAGCGCACCGCGAGTGCGGATCATCTTTGCAGCGCCCGCAGTTAAAGGCGGCCGGGGCGGCGCTGCCTGCGCAGGGCTGGCGGGGCGGGCACCTCTGTGCCGAATATAAAACCCCACAGCMCCGCTCCGGATCGCAGAGTTAAAGAGGAAGAGTTATCCGGGAGGATGCGCAGCGATGCGATGCGGTGCTGCCGCTCCGCTCCCATTTCTCCCCGACAAATTCCCCGGCAAATGTCTGAATCCCGGTTTAACAAAGTCTGACCCACTCGCTGCCACCAGACTGTCGGGCTCGTCCTCCCGGCGCGGTGGGGTCAGATATTCACATTAAAAATGCTTTTTTTTTTCTCCCCGCTCCGGTGCCCGTTCCCAAAGCAGACGCTCGGCTGTCATTTTTTCACCTTCCACTTTTAGGAAGGGGCAGATGAAATCAAAGCCTGAGCTATTTGTGCCTGGTGCCTGCTGACCTTGTCTGGGACAGAATTAAACTCGGTGGGGTTTTTTTGGTTGTTGTTTTTTTCTTTCTGTTCCTTGATTTGGGTGCAGGAAATCCATCTCGTTCTTCCAGCCCTCTTTCCATCTCTCCCCATCTCAAATCCTGCCCCTCTGAGGACATTCTGTGGGATCACCCAACACCTGCTTTTCCTTTTTTCCACAGGGCTCCTTTTGTGTCCTGTGCTGTGTGAAACGAGGGTTTCCAACCTCACAGGAGGAATCAGGGATCCACAAACCCATCAGAGGCGCAGGCAAAGCCAATTCCATGGGCTCGGTGCCTGATCCCACTGTCACCCTGAGCCACCTGGGCTGGGAAAGGTGTCCCTGCCATGGCAGGGGTTGGAATGAAGTGGGATCTACAATCCCTTCAAACACAGGGTGAGGGATTTTACTGAAGGCAGAACATTCCAGAAGGGGAACCCAGATCTCCTATCTTTGCTTTTACAAAAGCCACAGAGAGGGAATTCCTTGAGTTCAGCCTCGAGGGTTCCCTGTTGATGTCACCCCGAGCAGGAGGAGCATCCCATGGGTTGGAAATCCAAGACCAAACCCTCACCCTGTGCCCCAAACCCTCGTGGGGGGATCGGGGAGGGCTCAGCACCCACATTCCCTGGGCTTTTTCCATCTGTGACAACGCTCCTGGAAAGGCAGGGAACAGGGAAAATGGGGAAATGTGAAAGGAAAAGGAGAGCTGGGCTGAGAGCATCCCAGGAAAGGAGAGAGTGGCCACTGGGATCCTCCACTAAACCTGGGGACAGCGTCACTGCTGAGATTATTGTCACCTGCTGGGGCCACTTCGGGCTGTGTCCCTTCCTTTCAGCCCCAAAGGACACTGTGAGGGCATTACTGACATGGGAGAAACCCAGAAAGGTCTAATTGTTAAATTTAAGGTCCAAAGTGAAGGAATCTTTGGCACTGCAGGGAATGAAATGTGTGTTTTTAAAATCCCCCTCAGTGCTCATGTGGGTACACAGCCCTCCCAACCCTCAGTCCCTGAATCCAAAGAAGTTTAGAATTGTCTCCACTCAATATTTCTCATTTTTCTTCCATGGATCAACTGGGAAGGGGAACATTTGACTCACCTGACTGCTTGCTTTTGCTTGGGAGGAGCCACCTGAAAGAAAAACATCAAATCAACAGGTTAAAACTCCATGTGAGACTTGGCTTTTGCCCTAACAGTTAAGGAAAATGTAGAAATCATCACAAAAACGTGATTTTCTCACATTTTCCTGAGTTAAACAAAAGTGCACAAGACAAACATTCCCCTTTCCTCAGCTTGCTTGGTTCCTTTTCCAGGCTGGTGTCCCTGCCCCAAACCCAAAAATGTGGAGTTGAGGCGCCTGCCTTGGGGTCCACACCTTTGGAAACATCTGGACTGATGTTCAAGAGGTTCCTGAGGGAGGTTTCCACCTCCAAAACCATGCCAGGAGAAGGGATCAATCCACAGCTCTTCGTGCAGTGAAAATCCCATTATTTTCACTTAAAATCAGTGGAAATTCCGGCCCCAAGCAGACACGGAGCTGAATTGGGGCTGCTCACACCCCTTTGGGGATGGGACTGTGCAGATCCCTCCTGGGGGAGCTGCCTGGGGACATTCAGCCCTCCAAGTGAGGACATTCCTGGCTTTTCCCCTCCGAGATCCTCCTGCACCTTCCTTGGAAAGCCTCACCCTGTGGAGCAGGGACCTCCAGCTCTGCTGGGGCTGAGCCCTTCCTGCCCCAAAAAGGAGCCCTGGGCACAGCTCCCCACTGCAGAGGGCATTTGGAAAGCAACACTGGGGAGGGAAAGTGTAGAAGTAGCAAGAAAAATCA